AATTTGAGTTGCAAAATTTGATCCGGACAACCAAACGGACAAGAAAGCGAGTTAATAAAAACGTGTTAAAATACAAATTTAAATGAAAGTCCCACGAGCAAAAATATGCCTGATCCTTCGTGGAAAGGATCAAGAAAATTATGGCCACAAGCTTTTCTGGAATTTGAAACATGCGTTATAAAAATTAGACCTAACTTAATAAAAGGGCCTTCAAAATCGTCACATTGCATTGGGCGTGAGGGGATTGGTCAGAAATTTACAGGAAATTCGAAAAAAGAAAAAATTAGATCTCTCCGATTTACTTTCAAGCGCAATAAATCGTTGAAATACAGTACAACCAACGCATTACATTTCAAACAAAAACCCTTCGTCCAACAGGAAGAAGCGGCTGCTCGATTATTAAATAAAATGCTGTATCATTTAAAAGAGAGTACAATTTTTGCAACACCCGGCGAAAAAAGAATTCTGCAAGCGCATTCTTCATAACCCCAACTGCGCCAAAAATACTGTAATAATAAATAAATAAATTTAATCAGCGTAAATACGGTTCACAAAACGTCTGAAGCTTGATCGATAATTCATCTCCCCCCGTCGTCTCACCCTCAGGATACTGTACCCCACACGGAAACAAACCAAAATCCAAAGAAAACCCTGTCGTGTCAGGCGCAGACTCGCGGGTTTTCACGTTGCAAAACCCCGTTATCTGAACTCGACATTGGCTTCGCGGAAGGAGGGAAGAAGAGAAAAGGAACAGAGATACTGTAGATGGAAAAGAGAGATTCGTTTCAAAGATATATACTCACGGGCCTGCGTTCTCCGATCCCACGGAAACGACGCTGCCAGGGTTTTCACGCTTCGTGTCAGGCGGGGATTGCGGGTACTGGTAATGCGGGGTGTTGGGGTAGCTGCTGTCGGCAGACATTCCAGCACCGGTCCCCCATCTAAAAAAAAAAACGAATACAATTCAAGTAAAAAAATTTCAACTCAAACTTCAAGGGATCAGCAAAAAAAATCGACTTAGGAACCTCTCGAGTCAGGGAAAGAAGTATTTCAGTTCCGGAGATGAATACAAATTGCAGGAAATTATGGCGATATTCTGGGCATTAAATTGCTTCTTAAACGAGTTGACAGGATGCTGAACTTGGAGGAAAGGGTTCATTCGCCTCGTTAGCCTTTCAATCCCTTTCAAAACACAAAGTTACATTTCCGTTGTTTTTCTCTTCCCTGCGTCAATAAATTCATAGCCAAGAGGCCTCCAGAAAATCTGAGTTTGAGGAGGAGGGCCTTCGGATTACGAAAGGTTTTTAATGCATCGATTCTAGAGGAATTCAGACGAAAAAACAAAAATTGACATCGGGAGGTTTTCGAATCAGGGAGGCTTAACTTCAAGTTATCAAGGTTCAACTGTACACCCATCAAAGACACAAGGGTATTGTACAAGAATTTCTTTTAGAAATTAAACGAAACATTTGAAATTTTTTACTCGTAAAATTAGAACTCAATCGTGCGGCATTCATTTTCCATCCCCATTTTTATAGCCTAAATACCGTCTATATTTTCGCTCATTCTAGTCTCTGGAAAATTTTTTCTCTAAGTCCACGGAATGCGTTTAAAGAATGACACACTGCAAAAACTTCAATAATGGCAGAAAAATGTTTACAATACTCGAGTATGAAGCGCATTCCAATTTTTAAGCTTAATTTTCGAGGAAGATGCTACTGGTGTAACTCGAGTGAATACGGCAAAGCCAGAGTAATGGACATGACGTCCTTCAATGGGAAATAAATGCGTCAATACTCCTGCGTTTCTAGTTGATTTCCGAGAATTTGAATCAACATTTCATCGACTTCAATCGAGTTCAATGCACTCGCACTCGAGTTGTCATACGTGTTACAGGAGTAGAGACAAGTTCGGATAATTGGATTTCGATAAACATGTAAATGCATTCATTGGAATACGGGAAGCCACTATTCACACTCGACATCTAACATTAGTGACGGAAGAGAGAGAAATCAAGCATGCAAATTTTCCAACGAAATTTGCAAACTAAAGGCTTCCGACAGAAAGTGAATAAACAGTATGCCTGTAAACCCTGCCTTCTTGGCAATTGGGAAATTACCGTATTCGCGAGAAATGCTCCCGAAACCAACTCCATGCTAAAACGAAAGGTACTTCAGTTCATTTGTGACTGAAGTCATAGTAAAATTCCTCTCATCGATCACTCGTTGACATTTCACATAAATCCTCACATTCGCATGATCAGAAAAAAATTTCGCATTGACAGTCATATATGGGACATGGAAAATTCGTCGATCATTTGAAATATTTGTCAAACTTGAGGCTTGCAGAAAATTCAATTACCGTATTTACTCGAGTACCACGCGCACCTTTTTTCTCGAATTTCAGAAGAAAAAAGGGGTGTGCGTCATAAGCGGGTACACATTTCTCAAGAAGTTTTAGAAAGTTCTACCTGCATTATACTTAATCATAATGGAGAAATTCGGAAAAAAAAAGTGACACGAAAACTTTTCTGTACTGAAAAAGTTGAAAATTGGTCAGATTTTTGTTAAATTCATGTCTGAAGTCAAACTTTTTGTTTCTATTTTCGAAATTTTGTGGTTTTAGATTTACTAAAAATTGGAGTGCGAGTCATACACGCCTAAGATTTTAGCCAAATTTCCAACTGAAAAAACCCTGTGCGCGCCTTACTTGAGGGCGCGTGGTACTCGAGTAAATATGGGTAAATAGATTAGGAATTCGATTTCGTACATTTGGAAGTAGCGGGTAAAACTCATTTTCTCTTGGTGATGGAATGTACGAAGAATATCAATATTATCTTCCCTTCAATCCATGGTGGCAAAAATTTGAACACTGATCCAAATATGATCGAAAAATACCCTTCAAAATTACGCTCAACTCATATTTAAGAAGTAAGCGCAAGATTGAAAAAAAAAACTTCGAAGCAAGTCGTTTTACATCAACGTCATTTCTTGGTCCTTTAGCGAATGCGTTCGAATTTTCAAAAATGTACCGCTTCACTTTCAATCGCCCAACAGTGTCAGAGACATCAACAACAGAGTTACTTCCCAGACTTCTTACCGAAAAACAAGACGGAATTCCATTCGAATCGGTAATTCCAAGGCAAAATTTCCTGAACGTACCGAGGGTAAAAAAAAATAAGTAAAGAAGCAGAAATTTCCTGCCTCGAGCGACGAGACACGTTTCAAAGGAACTGTTCCTGAAGCCAACCCCATGCTAATACATTTCGAAAAGGTCAAGATTATCTCATGAGCTTTCGACAGCGCATGGTTTCACTTACACAGAGGAAAAAAAAATTTTAACCATAAAAATAATATTCTGTATTGGAATGTTCGAAACATTTTTACCAAGGGAGAAAATCCTCAAGATACTCGCTCTGGGTCTTTCTTCGAAAAATGCAAGCGTGCCGCAATTTACTAAAAGTAAGACATTCCGGAAATTTTCATTCCTGGAAAAAAGGCTGGAAATAATGGGGGGTGGAATTGTAAGCGAGGAAGAAGACAGAACTTACCCAGGTACATGAATGACGAGCAGGGGTTTAACGTAGCCACTGGAACCTTGCTGGGCTTCAGCCGGTGGAGTATAATAACGCTGGAACGCTTGATCCTTGGGAATATTCGGGTACAGGTAAATAATACTTCCGAGATCGCTCACCCTGTCGGCCAAACNGGGGTTTAACGTAGCCACTGGAACCTTGCTGGGCTTCAGCCGGTGGAGTATAATAACGCTGGAACGCTTGATCCTTGGGAATATTCGGGTACAGGTAAATAATACTTCCGAGATCGCTCACCCTGTCGGCCAAACTTCGGATCGCAAAATCCTTGCTGGTCCAAGGCTGCAGGTGATCAACGGTCACCGCTGGAAAACAAATCCACATTAAAAATGTTCAAGAAATATATTGTCGCTCGTAGGAATCTCGTCACAACAAATCATTTAAAAGAAAGTATTTACAATAAACAGTTGAACCTCGATAACTCTGCAACATCGCCGAATAAATTTCGATGCTGAATTTATTTCAAGTCCCTTTCTCAATTCCCGTCGGAACAATGCACTAAAAACTCCATGACTCGAATTTTAGACAGACCTTTTTGTTATTATTTCATTGACTCGGGAAAGAGAAAAGCACTTGAAATGTAACTTGATGTATTGTATTTGGAAAGATGTGAAGGATTAATTGGGCAAGTAAATCTTCATTTCCAAGTTCAGCATCCTGTCGACTTTAAGAAGCAATTTAAGGCCAAAGAATATCAATTAAAATTCCCGGTAATTCGTATTTTCCTCCCAACAAAAATGCTTGTTTTCTCAACTAGAAACCTCTCGATTTCGAATTGTTTGGATGGTTTCTTCAAATTCGACTCGATTAACCGAATAGAAATGTACAGTGGTTCCACCCGGGGAAAACACAGTGATTTGTTCGCTGCTTCGTTTACATTTCAGCAGCTGAATATCCCACTGATTTGGAAATGCTTAGAACTACAGTATTACTATCCACGATTTTAAGCAACGTCAGCATATATCAGAACTATTCTTGAAATTTGTTTCCACATGCAATTTTTTATTTACCGGATTTCCCCGAGTTTTTCGTCATACGAAGTTCTGATGGAAATCGCACTCAGTGCATGCTACAGAATGTACTATAAAATTCAAAATACCTGTATTCGATACTGTATCATAAACTTGATTCCCGGAGATTGCTTTCTTCGCTAATTCTTTTTTTAATAAATTAGTTTATACGGACCCAATTTTTATTTGAAAGCATAATTCTAAACAAGCCCACCTTTGACATCGACAAAACAATATTTACCTGAACGATTTATTTTAAAACGACGAACTCCATGTTTTAACGAGATTTCACTGTGATCATGTTCGAAACATATTCGTTCTTGACCACGGGAAACAGTAAATAAGTACGGAAAAAATTTATAAAAACTCAGTCCATTAAATTTTGACAATAGAAAATAAATTTTAAATAAAAGTCTTTTCTCCATTTTTCGAAAATCGACAGCTTCGAAAATTATGAAAGATCAACGAAACGAAACCAGAAAAAAAGCTCACACGAATTCAAAATTTCCCGACATGAAAACACATAAGACATGAAGAACAAATTGCGGTACAATACCGACTACTCAATTAACTTCAGAATAAATTATCCTATCGAACATTGCTTTTTGAATCAGAAACTTGTACCCCAGATTTCCCAGGCGTATTAGAGCATTGCACAACTCCTCACTCGTTTCCATTGACAACGAAAATACTATGCATTCATTACTTCAGTCCAATGCCGCGTTAGTTCACCACGCGGAGTAATCAAGAATTGATATCCGGATTCCTCTTCCTTTTTTTTTGTCAAATACCGCACGTAAATAAACTTTTCCAACACCAATGGGTGATTAACTCCTTGCCATTCTACCAGCAATATTAAAATAGCCACATTGCGAAGAGCCTAAAGCGACGAAAACTTGTCCAATGTAAGAAAAGGAGAAGAGGGGAAAAAACGGGTGTCAATGACAGGCTTCACTCACAGCCTTGGGTATCAGCCTTGAACCCGGCGATGGAAATCCCTCCGAGTTCCGAGTCGGAATAACGCAGCAGGAATGTGCCAACAGCCTGCTTCATAAGCATGTCGCTCGCTTGCAATTTCCCCACAAAGCCCATGATCAACCTGTATTTCGAGCACAAATTATTTTCAAGCATTGAACTTATTATCACATCGCTTCAATATTGTACGCGGGTTCACACTTCCCAGTTGNTCAACTTCTCTGGATCATATTTGCATGACACAAGAAAAGGTTTTTAAATACCGTATTTACGCGAATATCAGCATCTTTTTTTCTAATTTTAGATAAGCTCAAAACTAAAGGGGTTCTGATATTCGCATATTCATGCAATTAGCGATAATATGCGCGTGTGTCAGAAAATCTTCTTGTTCGCAGCCCACAAAACCATCAAGCACTCATTTCCTTCATTTCTTTCGAAATTGGCATTTTAAAAAATCAAGAAATGGTCAGCTTTCAGCACTTAAAATATGCACGAGTAGTTGAATGAAGGCGAAGAGCAAGGGTTGTGACATTATTTTTCCTTTTTCGGAGAAAATCTAAATTTAGTTAGAAGGGTTCAGTTCCCAGAAAATCAGAACACAACGAAAGTAAGTGGGTGCACGGAATTTTAAATTTTTGCATGAAACATCTCGGGGTGTGCTTAGATTCGCTTAAATACGGTATATGACCGTGTTACAACATTATCTCTCGCATCTCCTCCGAGGTTTTTTCTTAGCTTTCGAACATGTTCAGGACGGGGGATAATTTTTTGTTGCTGTGCATTTGTCAATTTGTCATCGTTATTGTTTAACCTCCAGTCCAAGGCTTTTCATACGATCATTTTTGGAACAGCGCCGCGCATCGAGCGAAAACTCACCCGTCGTTCCACAAATTCTTCAAATGCTCCCTCGTGAGCTTGAGGATTCCGTAGAACCATTCCCAGAAGGTGAAATTCCTGTCTGGCAACGGCTCCTTCGCAAAGGCGTTCCAGTTGAGCTGCAGCTGGGAATAATCCGCAATGGTATGGTTCCTGAACACCTTCCCAGCAATGAACTTGAGGTTATCCTCAGTCAGCGTGCGTCCACACGAAGAGAAAAATTTGGTATTCAACATATCCGCCACTTGTGGCCACGGCACTCGATCCGGTACGGCAAAACACTGTCGTCCGGGCTCAGCGAAGGCATTGTCCCAACTCACAGTCGCCCATGCGTGCGGCTCTTGATTCCCGTGCACGATGACCACAACCGGCAACGATAATGTCCACACCTGGAAAAAATTTTAAAAAAGGGCGGCGAACTTTCGTTCCTGTAGTCAAAGTCAGACAAGTGTGGACAGGGATGGAGTCAGCATTGGCACTTTTTTTTTTTTTGAGTTTCAGGCGACCCTAAGGAGTAATCACACTTCAACTCCGAGAACGGCGAGCAAACAGAGATCACAGCGGTTTTCACAACCGGATTCCGAAAGCGCGTTTTCGGAGGACGTTCTAAGATTGTTGTCTATCATCATGTCAGAGGGAAGACACAACAGTAATCAATAAAGAAAATTCCCAATTCATCTACAACGATTTTCTCAATATACCGCAACTATTTTTTGGTACCATGGGGTTCTCCCAACGAAATTCTCCCCACAACGAATTTTTTTCAGGCTCCGTGAATTTCGTTGCAGAGAGTCCACGCATAACCCGAAAGTTCGAAATGGCCGATTTTTTGCTTAAAAGATTTCTGATTTTTGTATCTAGAGTAAGTCGAAAAATCTGAAGAAATCAAGTATTTATCAAAATTATGACACCGTCGATTCAAAATTACAATTTAATTTGAGCACTTCGAAAGACAATTTTTTGAAGACATATAAAAAAATTCCATATCCTTCTGAAATCTCAAAAAAGTGCAAAATTTGAAAATGGACAATCCTCCTTAAAACATGAAGTTGCCATCACAATACCAATCTGCACATCGAAACTTGATCCAATTTTTTTCTCCAGCCATGTTTCATTTGCTGGGATCGTATATTAATCAATACAGTATTCTGAAGAGTTAATTGATTACTTATTTAATTCATTACTGAATCATTCATTTTTTAAGTAATCGCATATTTCTGGACCGCCACGTGATACTGGCGTTTTGCATCACGGTCTCGGAAGCCATACATTTTTGAATGCACTAAATAGAACTGCATCTTGGTGTCGAGTTAATACATTCCATGTGCATAGAAAAGACAGGTGAGGATGAGAAACTTTTGATATTTTCCATAGAACGAGTTCTTCGACAGCAATACATTACTCAAAATACAGTACAGTACTCAGATCAATGGATTTACGACAATGAAAAAAAAAACTACATGTACGATTGCGAGGTATTAAGAATATTCCTCTTCACGATAGTGATTGAAACGTTGATTACAAATTAGAAACTTCCCCACGTCACATTACAATCGCATGCCAAGAACTCACGG